TAGAGTAATTGTTATCCATAAAATTGTGTTACAAGGATTTAGTAGCATACTCAAAATTTCTACATGCGATCAGAAAGTCAGGACCCGAAACAAGAAGAATGAAAGAAGTTGATTTTTATATAACAAAAGTTATTCCTGAGGAAGAGGAATCAGATGATTATGCAGAAGATTATCCACCAATCATACAAGAAATAGACGAATTCGATGATATGGTGGCATCTGGACAAGGCATAACGTTTTTATCCGACGACAATAAAGAATTGCTTAATAGATTAGAAATAATATTAGCGGCCATGAAGGAAGGTCATCGATCGGACAGACAATACAACAAAGTCAATGCCATATTAAAACGGCTTTTGGAGAAAGAAATCATCACTAAAAAAGACTATATAAACGTCATTAAAAATGTCCAATAAAGAACAATTGTTCGTTATCACCTCGAATAAACCAGACATCAAATTGTCTCTAGACTACGAGTATGAACTCGATCGCAATAAACAGTACGAACTGGGATTAAAGTATTTTTCCGTTTACAATTCCATTAGAAACATCAACGAAAAAAACAATCAACTAAAAATATCGACGGATAACGGAGTTACGTTCGAAACCATAAGCTTACTACCAGGGAGCTACGAATACGTAGCCATCAACGAATACCTATCCGAATACGCAGGAAGCGTGAACGGCAAAAACAATATCGAATTCGAAGGTAATTTGAATCTGAACAAAATAAAATTGATCTTGAGAAATAACAGTCAAGTCGATTTCAACGTAGAAAATTCGTTGAATGCGTTACTAGGGTTCGATAAACGAATATACGCGCAATCGACATTGGCGCCGCACAAGGCCAACATCGAGAACGACATCGACGTGATCAACATTCACTGTAATTTGATCAACGGTGGATTTTTCAACAAGCGCAAACGCCAAATCATATACAGCATACCGACTTTTACGGTGCCGATCGGATACAGAATTATAGAGAAACCGTTTCAAACGACCTATTTACCAGTCAATTCTTTCATGATCAAAGATATAAATCTGGAAATCAAAGACGGTAAAAATAGGTTCATAGACTTTGGCAACGAAGAAATTGTCATTATCTTTATCAAAAACTTTGACTTTGAGGTAATGTTTGTTTTTTCGAAATTCTTTGTGAATCTTGTCTGCTATGCCCATACCCAATTTCAATTTTGCCTTCAAGAGTTTTATGATAAGAGCCCTTTGTAATTTCTCTTTGAAAGTGGGATTGGGAATATTTTCGAGTTCGTCTATCATTTGTTTGTCTGCTTGGTGTCTAAATGTTACGTCTTTGTTTCTGTACAGTATGTCGTGTTTGAGCGCTGCTGCGTCAACTCTATTAACGGGTTCTTCCCCTGGTTTGGGATTATCATTTTCGTCCAATCGTAGATCTAACCTAGTGCCTGGACCTGTATAATTGTGACCTGGGAGATGTTTTTCTCCGGGATATTTTGCCCATGGGAATCCAGGAAGAGAACCCAATGACTTTTGAATGTCTCCCGCACCGAAATACGTTTTAGGAGGATGGACATTTATTAAAGACATATTTGTTCAATAAACACTATATATTTTTAATACGAAAGATTTAATACCAGGAGGAAATTTGTTGTTTGAGACAAAATTGGCCACTTTGGGGATGAGAGATGTTAGCGCACAGAAGAAACCGTCTCCTTCGAATTTTTTTTGTTCGTGTTTTAAAATTAAAGACATTTTTAATGCGGTTATTTTATACTGTATTATTTTTAGTTATTCTTGTCTGTGATTTGGGTAATTTATAATTGGGGAGTTTGTTATAATACAGTTTGGGGAGTCTGTTATAATACATTTTTAACAGTTTGAGGAAGTCTGTTATAATACATTTTAACAGTTTGGGGAGTCTGTTATAATATATTTTAGCAGTTTCGGAAGTCTGTTTTAATACATTTTAACAGTTGTGTCTTTTCGGATATGACGCATTGAAAAAGCTGCGCATACGCAGAAGTGAAATGCGTCATATCCGAAAAGACATATACCTACCATCTTAAAAACCGGATCAAACTGGATGCGCTATATCAGAAAACTCATATACTACTTTGCCCAACTTGCCGCAGCGTGCCCAACTGGACAAAAACGACTTGTAAAACGAAACTAAAGGTTTCTGATAAAATTCGGAATGACCATTTGTTTCACATGAAACGAAATATTTTAATCTGTTGCCCCGCATCGATTTTCTTTTTATTTATAATTAGGACCTGTTAGGGAAATCGAAAGTATAATTTTATGGTAAAATCTAAAAAACCTTTAGTTTCGTTTAACAAGTCGTTTTGTGCAGATGGGCACGATGCGGCAAGTTGGGCAATGTGGCAAAACGAACCCATCGCCTAATAGTTGGTTGGTAGATGACAAGTTAACGCTAGCTTCCAGCGGATGTTGATATCACAAACTATGTACTAGTTGGTACTCGTAGTAGTTGGTAGTTCCTAATAATTGATATACAGGTATATATTGTTATAATAATTGCAGGAGAGGAGAAATCAACCAGACAGCTTCTAGAAGAAGAAATAGTGTGTCAATATTGATGACAAAAGAGGCGGAAATCGAATTAAAAATACTTTTACCTATATTTGACTCTTTTAATACCTTCCACCCCTATCCCCTTTTTCTCTGAGACTTAAATATATATATATTCCTGAAGGGAAAGTTCGGAAAGTCGTAAAAAATTTCATACATATATTAAACATATTTAAGTATATTAAGTACATTAAAGCATAATTTATGATACCATGGAACCGGCTATTTCTAGACTAGTTAAACGCTTACCCAATATAAAGAGATCACCGAGAGTTGCCAAATATAATTGGATCTAACAGACAAATCTCACAAAAAATATACTATTTGATTTGTTTTGCAGATATTCGTGGAAATCATAGTAAAATATTATTTGCGTAATGAGTGTTTTTGATTCACAAACTGCGATGCGATACCGCTTAAATTGAACCCTGATCTGTGTTGAAGGTATGAATGGTACAGGGACGTCGCACGATTCAGCTCCATTCACGTCTATGTTTAAAGGATATTTTCACACTAAAACGTCATCCGTTCGACCACTGATACGTTAGTCTCAGATAAAGAATTATTTCAAGGCGAGCTAATCAATAATAGTATTCACAATTCACCGTCGAAATTTGAGGCTTGAAATCCATGTGTGTCAAGAATTATCCGTGTTTGAAAGTTAAAATGACGATTCGTCTTTTTTATGACTATCATATATCGTAAATTCAAATGTCATTCACACTCTTATGTTCTGACCCATGACCATCGTTATCGTACTCTTAAAAAAAACTGACTACTTTTAGGGTTCGACAGGTCATCTGAAATTTGTTTTGTCTAAATGCGACATTCCTTGGAGTAGCCAAATTCATTTGGTAAAGAAAGGGGATGGCAGTCATAGGTTCTGTGTCGATTTTCGAAATCTTGATGAGTTTTCTCTTGAGGATTCATTCACTTAACCCAGATATGAGAGGTTTTAGAGAGTTTACGACGGTCTCAATACTTTACAACACTTGGCCCTGCTAGTGGATATTGGCAGTTAAATTGTATGATGCCAATAAAAAGACCACAACATAATTTGGATTATATCTGTTTAAATCATGTTAGCTGGTCTTACCATTACCCTTTTCGTCGGTCATCAAAGGAAGCAATGATTATAATTTAATTGTACGCATTTATTGTGCTCGTGACCTAAGTGATTTTGACTCAATAACCATACATTAAACCTGTAACAACTTGCAATGTATTTCTAGATCTTTAAGTAGTTTCGGCATAGACACGGGCATAGTATACACCAAGTTTGCAATAAAAAGTTGCTTCAAACTGCTTCTAACCAGTTAAAATGGAAACGAATAAGAAATCATCATCATAATAAGTGGGCTAGAAGTAAACAATATCACCTAATGAAATTTGCTATTATGAAGAGACTTTTTTTGACACGAAATTTTTTTTTGTTCACATATTATGAAAATTACACCAAAATAAAACAGCCATTTATTTCATTTAAGTACAAATCATTGTTTGTAGCCTGTACAGTGGGCATGAGCCAATTGTGAAAAGATGACAATATACTTCCATACTACATGTGGGCATATAAAAATCAAAAGAATCCATAAAGAATTGTTGTCTGAAGAGTGAGCAAAAGTTGCACTATATAGGTAATACAGTGAATACACTAAGTCGCATTCGATATTTCAGTGAAAAATTATCAGATCATCATGAAAATCGATAGGGATCATCTTCTAAATGACATTGACCCACAAAATAAAAATCAAAAGAATCCATAAGGAATTGTAGCCTGTAGAGTCAACAAGAGATGTACAATATAGCCAAGAGATTGAAAATGCTTAGTCGCACACAATTTTTCGGTGAAAAATTATCAGGTCATCACGAAAATCTATAGGTATCATCTTGATAATGACATTGACCTACAAAATAAAAATCGAAAGAATCTGATAATGTAGCCTGTAGAGTGAGCACGAGCCAAATGTGAACAAGACAGACATAGAAATTTTCAGATCATCACGAAAATCAATAGGGATCATCTTCATAATGACATTGACCTACAAAATAAAAATCAAAAGAATCTGTAATTGTAGCCTGTAGAGTGAGCACAAGCCAAATGTAAATTAACCCATTTAAGACAAATTCAGTTTGATCAAGAAGATACATAGATATAAATAGCATACATTAGAAATATTTTCAGGTATAAATTACTACCTTTTTGTTAATGAAAATGTTTTACCACAAGAAGTGGAATACCCCTTAAACAGTCAATCACATTTTTACATTCTATCAAGTAAATTGTCTGTTCTGAAACAGTCAACTGAAGGAAAGAAAATCAGCATCCTAGGATTAAGAGATGTACAGTGATCACTGTAAATATATCTCATCTTGTATAATTCATTGTAACAAAGTATTAATAAAAAGTAAAACTCAAGTCTCCAAATTTATTCATAAGCTTTTTCCAGAGCAATATTGGAGTTATCTCCCTTCATACTCTTGGTAGGTGATGTTTTCGGTACATTCGGATATTCTGCATCTGTAAAGTAATAGATGCATTCATATAATAAGAACTCTATTCTTTGGAGGAGTTCACTACTATACAACTTCTACACTCGATTTTGCCATTTTTTATAAAAGATTTTTGATTGTCGGAATTGTCTTGTTTGGATGTTTTAGTGGATCACATCCAAATACTTGCAGATGGTAAATGAAAAGCCCGAATCTATCCTGATACTGCGGCCAGTGTTTCTAAAAGTTGGCCAGGTGTTGGCTTTCAACCTCTATGACCTTCATGTGGCTGATATTCATGTGGCTAAATTTTGTTGTAAAAGACAAACATATTTGAATGGTAGTTTTTGAAGACTTATTATTGACAAATATACAACAAGATGGTAAGAGGTTAATCATAAAAGTTGAACCACTAACCTTTTGTCTGAAGATTGTTCATCAAATCTGCTAAATCATCTAAGTCTGTTTGCTGTTGATCCTCATCTAACATAGCATCTAGCTCCGATTCCAATTCTGCTACACTTGTATCATCTAGAGTTATTTCCCCTGCTGATAATGTTCTATTGATTTCATCTTGATCTTCTAGTACCTAGATAGAAAAATATCCAAAAAATAAATACTATCAAATTAAAGCTCACTAGTATGTTTAATCTTTTATGAACCTGCTGACACTATATGACTGTGTCCCTCATCACAGGTTCACCATTGCTGTGTGTTATTTACTCTTCTTAAACATCGTGGCAGATGCCACAAATAATGTACTGATTTTAGCTATGTTTAACAGCTAAATGGTTCATCAATTCGCCCTTGAGGGATGTAAAGATATAGAACACAGAACATTGTAATTATAAATATGGTTTGAAATTAAGGCCTACCTCCTGTAAATCATCCATAGCATTTTCAACTTTATCAATATTAACTGTTTTACTGGTTGTTTTAAGAGCAGATACACCAGCTTGATACGCTTTCAACACCTACAAATAATATATCATAGAGATAAATAATATATATATATAACATTACAACAACTACAAATAATATATCATAGAGATAAATAATATATACATACAACATTACAACACCTACAAATAATATATCATAGAGATAAATAATATATATATACAACATTACAACAACTACAAATAATATATCATAGAGATAAATAATGTATACATACAACATTACAACAACTACAAATAATATATCATAGAGATAAAAAACATATACATACAACATTACAACAACTACAAATAATATATCATAGAGATAAATAATATATACATATAACATTACAACAACTACAAATAATATATCATAGAAATAAATAATATATACATACAACATTACAACACCTACAAATAATATATCATAGAGATAAATAATATATATATACAACATTAAAACAACTACAAATAATATATCATAGAGATAAATAATATATATATACAACATTACAACACCTACAAATAATATATCATAGAAATAAATAATATATACATATAACATTACAACAACTACAAATAATATATCATAGAGATAAATAATATATATATACAACATTACAACACCTACAAATAATATATCATAGAGATAAATAATATATACTTACAACATTACAACAACTACAAATAATATATCATAGAGATAAATAATGTATACATATAACATTACAACAACTACAAATAATATATCATAGAGATAAATAATATATACATACAACATTACAACAACTACAAATAATATATCATAGAAATATATAATATATACATACAACATTACAACAACTACAAATAATATATCATTTAACAATTAATCTACCGATAAAAATGGATTATGGAATATCTAGATGGCTTATTTTAATCAAATAGAGATTTCTTTTCTTACTTTTATCGAACTGTATCATTGCTATATATACAGATTTTGATATAATTAGCAATAATAATACATGTTTACACAAATTTTACGCAAAATTAACATGACAATATCAACTATTACCATTTTCTTTTTTCTTTCTCTAACATAAGCTTTAGCATCTTGTGTATGACTGAAATGAAAAAAACATTCCTTCAGTTCATTTGATTTTGTTTTTTATAGCGTGTCCATTCAGATTGTATAATATCGTCAGGTCGTGTATCAATACTTGAAGTTACCTCTCATTCTAAAAAAAAAAAAAGGGAGATTTTTTTATAATGCAGTAAATGGAATCACAAATTTTTCACAATGACTTGACTGAAATTATTGGCAACTATTTATAAGACAGTGTTCGTAAACAACTCCTATCAACTATATTACCAAATATCACAGTTATACAGTTATAAATCAATAAATATGGAGACTATGTGGATAAAGTGTTAAATTTTACTTCCCCCAAATCGAGATCTGTATTGTATCGTGACCCATGTATCGTGACCCATGTATGGTGATACATATTGTATTGTGGCATGATTAGCGATATCCAGCACACTAATAATACACCATCATGTACCATTTGTATATGATAGTATTTAAAACATTTTATAGGTACAATCACTGTTTCTTCAACAGATACAAAACTATTACATATTTTTAATGCGTTTCTTAGTCCTGAGTTTATTACATCCTACTTTTCTGCACACTATGGGCTAATGAAGACTGGCAACGCCATGCAGTGAGCAATGAGGGAAATTTTTCCAAGGCAGCAGCATCTGCCTGCTCTTTTTTTGATTTCCAACTGTCTATAGCACACAAAACCAGGGTTTATTGTCCCATCCTAGTACAAAAGACAACGGTAATAACATGACTTTCAAATCATCCAATCAATATCTTTCTATATATTTCTATTTCTATTATATTTTAAAATGAACACACAAACAAAATTTGTGAATAAAATATCAGTCATGGCAACCTCTGAAAAAGCTATTTGGATAAAGTGACCACAATCCTATCTGTTTGTTGATAACGGTGTGTGGTTCGGGAAAAAAATGGATCTGAAGGGTACGCTCTTGATCAATCCTCCTTATGTCTCCATGGTAACAAAATTCTGTTCATTGAGTTCTAAATTATTGATATTGGCCCACCTGATATAATGAGAAATAAAATTCTTACCTATCACACTTGATTGATAAACTTTCTATCTGTTTTTCTAAATCTCTTTCAACTTTTTTTATACTGAAAAATACGTACAGAATAATCAGACATACTGGGGTGACTTGAAAAGTTCATCAGCTGACACTGAAGAAGTTATTGGTATATATAAAATTCAACATTTCCTGATATTAACAACATTGTTTATTTTGAGATCAATTGATGCTGATTGAGTGATTCAAGACTTTGAACAGTACTTTTCAAAATGGATTATACTTTAATCTAATCCAGTGGTTCCCAACCTTTTTCAGCCTTCATACCCCTGGAGTAATCATATTCACACCCCTGGAGTAATCACCTTCACACCCCTGGAGTAATCATCTCCACTCCCCTGGAGTATTCACTTTCACACTCCTGGAGTAATCACCTTCACACCCCTGGAGTATTCATTCGAACCCCTCCCATCCCCAAAACAATGTACATTCAAAACATTGTAAATTTTATCATTTTTATTCAAATTAATCATAATAATCACACGTAATAATTAATATATAATCATGTGGCTGCAATAAGATGCTCAGTGGGAAGGCTGTTACTGTTTCTTTGGAACCTACAACAGTTGTCCACACCCCCAACACCCCAGTCCCACACCCCCGAGGGGATGAAAACACCCCAAATATTAAAAATTTTCATAGGATACTTTCTTTAACCATATTTGAAATATTGCTTCTGAATTTCAAAAGAGGTGATGAGTGAATATAATCCTTACTAATAAGTTTATTCAAGTTTGAATGATAGACATAAAATAACTATACAACTTACTTATATAAACTTAGCTCAATATCTTCAATTGCTTTTACTTCCTTTTCACCATCTTTACAAAACTTTACCAACTAAAAATAAATTAAAGATTTATATTTACAAACACTAACAAAGAGGCATGTATAAATATAGACAATTTTTCAGATCTTCATTGTACTGCAAAAAACTGATTGATAATAAACATATTCATATTTTGAGAATGGAACGAAAGGGTGTTTAAATCCTACTTCTCTAAACCTGATTTGACTTGTCAAAATAAACCCATGCAGTGAACATTGAGGGAAATTTTATCAAAGATCAAGAATCTAGAAGCTTTTTTCATGTCAGCCCCCTAGACCATGGATAGAGGAAACAACCAATCAAAAGTATTGTACCTTAACGAGTAAGACACGAGATGAAACATAAGGTGTATAATAATCAGACACAATTGGTTAACTCAAGATATACAGACGCACTACCCACTACTTCAATGTGTGCTCCAAAGCTGATAAATAGCAATTTAAGTTCCTTGTTTTTTAGTGTCCAATTTAGCAAACTATTTGATTAATTTGTTTTTCTAATGAATTATCATGTATAAAAAAAAACGAAATTTTGACCTTTCTTGATCAGTCACTCATTGGAATTCTGCTGGTAATTCTCTTCTTATTAATCATGATTTAATTATGGACTTATGAGACAAACTGGAATTTTTCCAAGTAATTAGAACACCTCTACTTTCGTTTTTTATAAGTATTAGCATTTTCATTTTATAAATGAACAAAAGAATCTACTCACTGTTTCCTTGTCATTTATCTGTTGTAGCAATATTTTTCTATCTGTCTGTAACTGTTGTAGGACTATGTCAAAGTCTATATCAGTAGGAAATAATGGTTGGTATTTAGACTTCAACTCTTCTAGTTCTAAAATATGATCACTGATATCATGTTCTATACATCTGTAATGTTGTCTCAATAACTCATTACATTTCTCCTGGAAAGAGCAAAAAATCAAATGATAAAATTTTGTACAATCACAGCAATTCCTTTAAGCAAAAATTTGTTCAAAGAATGGCAAAATTGGGAGAAATAATTGTATAGTATTGGACTCCTCCAAATAGAAGTACCGTCTAGTGTTTCGAAAAGGGCAAACATGGTCTGCTTTGCCAGAGATCTGCCACTACTATACACGTCAACTTCATGAGATACAAAACAGGTTATGTTTTCCCACATAATAGAGAACCATATCAACTATCTGTTAAACTTCTCAGAATAAAGATAGCTTGCCAGGCAAGGTAACATACGCCCACTGGCAGCTTTCAGAAATGATAAAACAGTGACTACAGTATGAATTTTCTTATATTAAAAAAATTCTAATAGTCTAAATTCAATGATATATATATTCCCTGCCATTTATTTATACTGAGAAATTCCACCAAATTTTTTAAATATCAATATCAATAACCCAAATACATCAAATTATCTCATCAATATACATGATCACACCATGTTTCATTTAAATCAATTGAAAACTGTAATCTCTAATGTGTTCACAAACAAATTTTGACGCGTTTTTCCTAATTCAAGGGCAATAACTCAAAAACCTTTCATCGAAATATCGTCATATTCGAACTTGTCCAAGATATCATCAATATAAATGATCACACCAAATTTCATTAAAATCAGTTAAAAACTGTAGTCTCTATTGTGTTCACAAACAAATTTTGACGCGTTTTTCCTAAGTCAAGGGCAATAACTCAAAAACCGTTCATCAAAAGATCGTCAAATTCGAACTAGACCAAGATCTCATTTCCATGTGGAAGTATAAAAATTGGTTGTCAATCCATTACAACTTTGAATAAATAAGTTCTAACAATCCGAATCGCAAAGAAAAATTCGAAATATAGCAATCATAAGTGAGAAAGTATTTCATGATGAAAAGTGGCATCAGGTGTCTAGAAGAGAAAACATACCATGCCTGGCACCAAACCCACATGTTTTTAAGATATAAGAATACATTCTTTAGAGTTTCTATCAGTTTCAATTCTTAACCAAACATCTTACTTCATTCTGTATTGTTCATATTAATCAAAACATTTAATGATGTGCTGCTTTTGTTTTGTGTATGTTCTCGAACCTAGCATCATAATGAGTGATTTAATTCGATTGGCTGAGATTTCCTAGAAAGATCTATCTAGGAATGAGTAATTTTTCTCACGTTAATTACCACAACCCCGAATTGGGGTGTGGGTTGGACAAGTGGTAAAATAATCTGTTGTTATGTGCAGAGCATTAACATCTTCAATGTGCACATGAGGATACCATGACGTCATTGGTCTTATCTTCCCACGAAATTGGTAACTATGATAACTTCGGTCACTCACCTGAAGTAAATCTGGTAGATAAACTAGTTTTTCTGTATTAGTATTAGTACTACCAAGTAATCGACTAAAACTCCATGATATAGGTTTTTTAACAACACTTAAACTCCATGACAACCAGCCTTTAGTACTACTACTAGCTTCAATATCAGAGAGATGTTTCAACTTCTTTATCCTGAAGAATAAATGTAGAAACTATTAGATTTTCTGTTAAATTTTATTGCTGTTGATATTCTGCTGGCGAACAAGATTATCCATAACACCAAAGGCCTGGTCCAAAATAATATGGTATCCATATCATTTGCAAGAGTGAACAGCATAAAACTGGTTCTTCGAGAATTGGTTGGAGGGCAGTTTTTTAGAATTTTTTCCTATCTTGAAATAATTGATTTGGTTACTTCAAACAAATGGTGTTTGGAAGTTTTTATCTTAATTGACATGTAAAATCTGGTGACATTGAATCTTTCTTAATCAATCACCCCAGCTATAAATGTGTATAGATATCCAGGAAAGATCAATGCTATGAAATTTGACCAAGGAGCTCTAGAAACAGAGTAGTTATCCTTTTAAAAATACAATATATAGTATTATAGTATTACATGTATACAGGTTTGGGTTCCCTTATTTTCGTTGATGAAAATGCTAATACTTATATGAATAGAAAGTTTAGGTGTTCTTATGACTTGGAAAAATACCAGTTTGTCTTATATGTCCATAATTAATTCATAATTAGCTCAATTAGAAGAGAATTGCCTGCAGAATTCCAATGATTGACTATCAAGAAAGGTTAAAATGTCTTTTTTTTTGTTTGTCCAGACTGTACTTACATAGACATTTATGACTGGTTAAAACTCAATTATAGGCAATAAGAAAATAATGATATGATTAAAGGGACAGGTGGACCATTTTAGTCTTGAATAGATGTAAATAGTCTTCAGAAGTACTAGAAATGTACGAAAATCACACAATTCCTTTAAAAATACTTCAAACTAGGAATTTTACTCAGTATGTCTATAAATACCTTTTCTTTGTATCACTGAGTATCTTAAATTGATGTGTCGTTATTTTAACATTCCAACGCAAATAATTCTAGACACATATAGATTTGAAGGCTCAAATTTTGACAGTGAGCAATGAACACTATTACTGATTAGCTCAGCTAAATAATTCCAGTTTCTGAGACTAAGGCATGATAGAAATGGACTATCTGTCCCTAAGAATACATGACAATTCATTAGAAACACCAATTAATCAAATAGTTTGCTAACTAAAAAATAAGGAAAACCATCTTTAAGCTTAAAGCAATGGTATATTTTAATTGTTAGATGTATGAATAGTTCAGTAATATTAAGAGGAAATGTAACAGTTAGGAGTCAAAACTACAGGAAATGATCCTATGTTTTGATCACATACTTGTAAAAATTCAATTTATCATATTCAATTTGTGAACAATTCATTTATTATGTATATATTCATTTTTTTCATTCATTTGAAATATATTCATGTTGAGGTCAACATTTCCCTTTACAGATATCATGCCTTTAAAAAGTGTTTAAATTTCATAAAAACATTTTTGATGATGTCACATGATTTTCGAACCAGCCAATCATCATGCTTTTAGATATGCTAGTTTTGTTTTGTAAATATGAACACACATATATGAAACTTGTCCATTTTATATAGTATGACAGAGTTTAAATGCATACAAACAAATCTGAACAGCCAGCATAGGCAAATATATCCAAACACCCATTCAACCCGTCTTTCTCTTTATAAAGGTATGATTTCAAAAAATACCAGCATTACAATAAAGAATGGGTCCAGTTTCAATCCCCCCATAACAATCAAAATAAGATTTAATTTTGTATCTTTTTCGGTTTTTTTTCAACCCGGTTTCACACTGTCTGTGATATAGGTAAGAGGGACTGACATGCAAAAAGCGTCTAGTCTTTCAGATGGGACAATAAACCGAGGCCCTGTGTGCTACAGGCTGTGCATGTTAAAGATCCCTCGAAAAAAAAGAAATCGAAAAAGAGCATGCTAATGCCGCTGTACTGCACCCTGCATGACGTTGTCCCTCTTCACAAGTCCACATTTCATAAAATTTTCATTCTTTTGTTTTCTGATATTATTTGTCTCCATTGTTATCACAATAGTTTTCTACCAAAAGCCAGTACCAAAAATTGTAATTTTAACCTTGGACTTTCCTACTTTCCCAGTATTGATATGATCAAAAATGACATAATCTACCATTATTGGAAGTTTCTGATAATGATTTCTTTTTTTTTATCGGGAATGAAGTTTTTTTTTTTTTCTCGTGATTTTTTGAAAATTCAAGTAGGAGGATCCGTAAAACACGAAAAAAAATTGATCTGGCCTTAGATAGGAATCCCACCACTTCCCATAATTTTAACATTTCAATAAGATATATGACGTTAGAGATGAAATAATGGTATATAATTTAAGACAGTTGAGTGAGGACAAACAGACAATTACACTCCAAGTTATAAGATTTTTTATAATCCACAAGTGTATTGTCCATCTCACATAAATTTATATAGTTTAAACATAAATAAATATTGTTAAGAGACTGATAAAAATATGATATTTACGTCATAATTTACATCTTATGATTCTAAAATAATGTGAAACCAAGTGAAAGGAATTCATTAAAAAGTAGTCATCTGTAATTTTTTTGGGACAAAAATCGCCATTAAAGGCATACTACCTCTAAGAATGGTCAATAAGATTAGGCCTATACAATATTCCATTAAACTAAGTAAGCTTTAAAATTACTTAGTTATTGGTACTTAAAGATGGGTTTCCTTAATTTTTTTTTTAGTGTCATGTAAAGCAATCTATTTGATTTATTGGTGTTTCTAATGAATAATCATGTATTCTGAATCATATCATTATGTTCTTATTGAATATAATAAGGAATTTTTAACCAATCATAAATGTCCATGAAAGTACAGTCTGGATAAACAAAAAAAAGACTTTTAATTCATATTTTCCAAATGAAAATAAGGGAATCCATCTTTAATTATTACTTAGTTTTATGGATTAATTGGATTATAGAGGGATTCTGTTATATATTTTTGACACCAAGGGCCAAATTCTTGAAATCTTAACTTAAGGTTATTCTAGTGTTCCAGTCATCTGATTGGTCAATCACTAAAATTGATTTTAAATCTAGCTTTATTATCCAATCAGATTACTGTATTTCTTAAAATCTGGATATTATTTAAGTTAAGTTTTGGAGAAAAAGGCCCCAAGTAAGTCCAATGACGAACAAAGACTCATTTTGTCCAAGCTTTAAAACTTTCAATTTTTTGGTCATCCTAAGAGGTAGTATACCTTTAATGTTTTGGTGACATTTCAACCACAATTTTTAGTCATTAACATACTGTAGTGTGAAATAATGAATGAATCACTTTCACTAAACTTGCACATAAATTATATAAAATGTGACATGACAATTTGAAAGTAACATGCATATTTATATGTACCAAATGACATTAACTTAAAGGGATGGACCGGTTTATTTTCAACGTGAAGAATTACGCTAATTATGCGTGAAACTATATCTAAACCCTATATATAGTTTCTGTAAATTTACCTTGCCACTGAGGAAGCGTTTAAAACATCAAATTTGAAGTTTCCTAATATAATTGATACGAGCCTGGTGTTTTCTGTAATTGCTTTCTTAGCGTCTGGAAAAAGGAATTCCGAGACTACTGACATGTGCACAAGGTTTTGTTTACATGTGGTGATGAATTTTCGATCAGAAATATAAAAATTAACTTTGTTTGTGTACTTCTCCGGTTGTTACATGTAAATTATGGATTATTATCATTATAGCAAAAATAAAAAAATCACAATAATGAGAAATGAAAATAACTATAAGTTGATCACTACTTTTATTTTCTACTGCGTCTTCCGGTCAGAATTATGTGTAGTTAACTCTGATTGGTTTAATTGGTCCAATCAAAATTGAGTTCTCAAAATCGCTATTTTCCAGAACAGTAAAAATGGAGGTCGCGAGATTTGAAATACTTGTGTTTAAGAATTATTCTATCTATTGTGTCTTAACTCTTGGATTTTTCACGTTGAAACTTTCAAGAATGGTCAGGGGCATCTTCTTCGACGAAAATTACAAGAGAGCCATTTTTGTCAGGTCTGACAGTATACTCCCTCAGAAAAAATTCAGAAAATATAGGGCTTGAATCTTGCTTCTAATGAAATTTTAAAAGATATTCTTCTTCATCATTTGCCACAAAAAATAACAAAGTCACATGGGCATGTCTTTCTTAGTAACTTAGAAACCACTTTCCCCAACTGATATGAGCTTAAAAGGACAGTTGCGATATTTTGGGAGCTTGAATAGATGTAATTAGTCTTCAGAATACTAATAATGTACGAAAATCACATAATTCCTATAAAAAGTACTTCAAACTAAAAATTTTACTGACTATTTCCAGATATGTCTGTCATACTTTCTAGTCTATCCTTTTATCAGGTGTCTTTTTGTCATGACCTTTTATCATTGTCATCCATATAATTCTTTATCGTTTTATTGTATGTAGGCCTATTGGTTTTATTGTCTATAAAGGGCACAAAAAATACCTGGTCAGTTATAATATTTCCATACCTAAATTTGGCTAGGTCTACAGGACATTTTTTCCACAAGTTAGTTGATCAAACCTTTACCAGTGGCCCCAGGGTATAGGCAACACAAAACCAAGTTAGTTTTTTACCATAATTTCGCTACCATTGGCAATTGCTTGAACCTGTTTTAGTTTTAAGTCTGATATCCATTCATTTACTTTAAGATTCCATTTTAGGATTCTATTTAAAAAACTTTATTACGCTACCTGACGTGAAAACTTGCTGACATTTAAGCAGATCCAACCATGACAATGATGACAGTAGGTTTGAAACAAATTCCAACTGCAGGGTGAGTCTCAGACTGTAATATCTTCGCAAGCAAAATTCAAACAACTTTTCAATTGAAGCTGAAATCAGTCTTTATCAACTATTGCCCACCATACTAATGTAGCACATAGTGCCTGGTGAGCCTGCTAACCAAAACTAAAATAGCAACACCTACAGATTTGCAGTGATGATGTTACTTTTCAAAATGCAATTGAAGAACCAATAAAACTTGATAATGGAGGATTTGATTTACTGAACCTGGTCGGTGTAAAACTCGGATCTCTAAGTCTAATAAGGACTAAGGGCAGTAAGGCTAAGAAAGTGTCCAATCAAGTCAGAGTCTTATTGATTTGTCTGCTTTGAAAAAATCTAAGATAAATATATATTTCCAAACCTGATCATTTCTTCAACCACCAAATCCAAACATTTGGGGAACTTCCCTTTCCTTTCAAATATGGATGCTAAATTGTCTAAATTCAATGAACATGTTCCTTTTTGTTTACATTTTTCAGAGATAACTGTCATCCAAAAATTCATTTTCTGATTCCAAGAAAGTGGGTTTAATGATTTATCTCGAAATGCTGCAAATAAAACCGACATTCTTTGATCATCCTGCCATTCTGGTGGGAACCATTCATTTTCTGCCATTATTTCTATCAGTTTAACATAACAACAAAAATTTAATGCAACGAAATTTTACTTTCGTTTTCGTAAGATTGTAGTCTTAACTTTCCAGACTTGTCACGCCTTTCAATGAAGGATATTAAGATTCTGGATAATCGCGTTTCGACGGAAGTGGCGGATGTTGACGTCAGTCGTGACGTAAAGACCAAATTACTTTCTTCTGGGATAGCAGCTTTGTGATATTTCATTGTACGATTTAGTTCATTGTTTTAGCCATTAATCATGATTTAAAAGGCAATTTTGTGATAACGACAAGAGAAACTTCGAAATGAATTCCATAAGGAGATGGTTATATCGACCTAAGGTAGGAGAATAAAGCCTATATCGGCATATTTTTGACCGAATTAAAACGCATAATATGAACGACTACGAGTCCATTTTGCTGCTTTCTATGAGGTCCGTGCCAAGAACATAACAAACAAAAGACTCAAAGGTGTTGTTTTTCGTTTTAACTCAAGCATGTAATGGGATTTCTATGGTTATTTACAGTATTATAGATAGGGCTGATTCTGAGTCAGCTGTTCTATATTTCATGTTAGCAAAATGAACTATTTACCTGTACAACTGCTGGAGTTGGGTAGACTAAAAAAAGAAAGACATGCACAAAAATTATCAAAAATGCCAAGTTGAATTGACACAGATTCACAGGTAATCCCCCCCCCCCCCCCTCTCCCACATGCAATGAATCCCCTTGCCTAAATTATCCCTGTCAATTTAGTGATTTTCTTATGGATTCTCTATTCTAATTCAATTCTGTGAATTATGTCCAGTGGCAGTATATTGACACATATGTCATCTTGAAATTAGATTTGCAAAGACAGCTGTTATACTGAGATTTTTATGAGCGTCTTAATCCTCTGGTATAATTATTGACTATTGACACAGACTCTGATCTCATAGTGACGTGGAGATATTAGTGACAGTCAGTGAAAGTTTTATTGTAACCGAATGATCAGTTGGCCTGTAGAAATACCTGATAGATCTGTATTCTTCTTGGACATAGACATTTGAAAGTTTTATTGCAGAATCATTGTTGAAAGCCTCTAAACAGAGTAAACCTTACCCTTCAATAATTTGTTGTGAATGAAGAAAAAAAATTTATATTCTTTAAAATAAGCTGAAAATATTGAATTTGATTAACTAGGATTACACTCTAGATGGTAGATTCCTTGACATTTGAAACAATTATGAAATATCTTCTTATTAACAGATTATTGGTACCTAACCTACTAACATAGATACAGTACTATATATAGTATATTTAGGTCAGAAATGATATCATCAATGGGAGAATCAATTCCCCCCAGTCTTTGACTTACTGTTTTGTATCATAGGATTACTTTAGATCTTCTTTCTCGATGTTCTTTTGTAGATTTATCTATAAATACAATATGATTTAGATATATCAGTAATGTGGGCAAATGAGTCATGCAATTAAATTTCTTGTTGGTTTTGTTAACGTATAAGTTTCTGATATAAACAGCAAGATTAATATTCTCAAGCATATTATTTTGAGTGCTGACACTAGACACAAAGTTGCCAAGAATTATGCGATTTGCGTACATTTTTAGTACTTTTGAAGACTATTCAGGTATATTCAAGACCCATGTCAACCCATGAAAATATTGAACAACCTGTCCCTTTATTTCAATGTGCATTATTTTATGTCAGCATACACTCTTAATTTCAATAAAACTTGATATATATGTAATTTCAATTTTCACAGTTTAAATAAAGTGAATGATACTAGTAGTCAATCTGTTTTTTGTTTTTTTTGGACTTTTTTTACCCTTATTTTGAAAGTCATTTGACAGTGTCAGGTTCATGTAAAACATTTTGTTAACACAGTTCATGATATATCACTTCTTGTTACATAAAACATTTTGTCAAGTCAAAAGGTGAGATCATGTCACAAAGTTAAATAGTGCCAACTATTATGAAATTGATGTAGTTTTTGACCTCTCAGTGAGTCATATCTTACTCTCCTGATCATATTTTGAATATAATTTTTGGGGATTGTGAAATTCATATTTTGAAATAACTACCATAATATTTTAAGTCATGAATAATGGAGTTGAGTTTGTTTTTGATTCATTGGATTAGCTTTATTATGTAAATTATTATTTTATCAAAAATGATGATTTCTGTATAAAAACTGAAAAATATAACACCATAGACTGCAAGATATTCAATTATGAAATATTTTCTGTTTTCTCTGACCTGATTGTCCTGTTTTGATCCAAAACTGTAGAGTGTGACCAAAATAGTCAAGTTTCTTTGTAAAATCTGTGGTTTTTATTTTCTGTGATAATCAGTCAGTCGAAACATAATATTTTTCGATGAATGTCACAGATGAAATACTGTAAAGCTTATGTTAGACTCATTTCACTTTAAGAGATCTCCAATAAGGAAGTGCAAAATGATGTTAAATTTCACCAGAAAAACTTATTTTTCTCTATTGTTGAACAAAAACTAGAATAAATAATATCAGATACAAATGTTTAATTGGGTGTAGCTTTATAAAAATAAGTGTTGATTTCTGTTGTTCATGTTTTAATATCATTTTTACTTTTTTTCACCTTAACATAAGCTTAGGTTTTCTGTTCTGATGTTACTTTAACACTATGATTTATGCCTAGGCCAGTACTTTCATTGAAACTAGTCTCAATACACCTTAACACTAAACTTCATGAGTTGAGGTGATCTTGGGCCATTTTAGGATTTTTTGGTCTTGTGTTTATTACTAAATATAGCAGGCATCGACAATTTTTAATTATAAGCTTATAAATAGTACAGATGTCTTTTAACAGCCAACTTTGAAATAAAGGCTAGAGGTAGAACTGCAATTATTAGATTTTTTTGTCAAATATGTTAGCTAAATCTTTTGAAATTGATCATAAATAGTTACCTATCGACTAAAATTGATTTACCGGTACCCGGTTGTTTAAAAAATGAGTAAACTCAGACACAGATGGCAATTATTGACACTTGTTTTAGTTGTTAAGTCTTCAAGACATTGACAAATGCAGAAATTACACAGAATGTTTTGGGATTTGAAGTGTGCTGTTTCAAGGGAGTGTAAAAAATATGTTCATTGATGTTAAATGGACAGGTGCAGCTTTTATTCAACCAACAGTACCATAATCTCATAAACGGGTGAGCTAATCAGTAATAATGTTCAAAGCTCACCGTCGAAATTTTAGCCTTCAAATTCATGTGTGTCCAGAATTATCATTGTTTGTTAGTTTGAAGACATCTTGTCTTTTCTTAAGATTATCCCTTATAAGGAAATATAGAAAACACAAGCTTATAGAAAAAAAAAGTTAAAGTTTGAGTGATTTTGAAGAAATTTTGTGATTTTCTTAATTTCTTGTGCTTCTAAAGACTATTGACATAAGCTTATATATTTCAAGACCCAAATCAACCCCCTGATAATGGCTGAAAACGTGTCCCTTTAATTATTGCTCTTTTGCATAGAGTAGAACAGGGAACAAAAGAACTCGCAACAATTGATAAGCAGTCTGAAAAACCAAAAAATAACTTAATTAGCAAGAATTTATCAAAAGTGTTTCAGACTGCTAATCAATTGTCGCAAGTTATTTTGTTCCCTGCGCCGTAACATCCAAATTGGATCGCAAACTTGGTTATTTTTTTTCCTAGAGTAGAGTGACTGTCAGTCCTTCTTTAATCTAAAGTGCACATATGTATTATACTTGAACCTACTCGAACCTTAGTGATGGTGCACGATTATGATATTAATGAAGTCATCAATTATTGCTCATATTACATGTTAAGTAAACTTGAAAATATATAGCAGCCATGTCAATCTCTTATCACAAAGACATTCAGGCCTACTCTAAAGCTACTTGAAAATGAAATATACTTTTCTGTAAGGCTATTTGAGATCAGTGGAATAATTAGGCAGTAATTTGTTTACATAAGATAGTATCTCTTATTAATCTATTAGTTGTGTACCTATGTTGATCAGTGAATATTTTGACTTTAATTCACAAATATAAGCTTAGCCATTGTGTTTACTGATTCAAATTAAGTTGTTTCTATATCATTACTGTTAGCTGGTAATTTGGATTGTGGAATGATTCAGGTATGTAAGCTAACTGAGTCAGTCAGTTGATGCTAAATTTCATTGTGAAAGCAACTCCAAAAAACAGTCTTGTTAAATTTACAACAAAAATTCCTTCTATTTTTTATTACATTAACTTTTATTTTTAATAAGCTTATAGCCACTTCAGTTAGGGTCTAAAGACTGGCCTCTTTTGAACAATCAACATTCATCTGTTTGAGTTCACCGCCAGCCAAACTTATTCCAGACCTCTCAGTGTCTTATTTTTCTGGGAACACACCTTTTTTTTTGCGTCATCCCAGCATTGGAGACGTTAAGAATTTGATTTGCTGGTATTTAAAAGTTGATAAAAAAAAACAGAACGAAAGCTTGGTCTAATTTTATCTAGATTACTGAGACCTATAAGCTTATTCTACTGATCTGGGCAGCTATTTACCACAAATGTTTCAGTTGGTCATATTTAACCCATTAACTGATATTAGTCATACATATATTTAGTAAGTAGTTTGGTATTGTCTGTGTAAGTATATCAGGACAGTATGTTAGCCACTCACATATTTTTGTAAACATTGTGTTCTTATCAGAAGTTCATCTTGTTTTTATAGTGGCATGTGTTGTTTACTATTGTACCTTTGGTCAAAACCTGTTGTCTTGGTCTACATTAGTTACTTGTTATCTTTTCAAATGCATGTTTAATGTGTAAAAGAAATTAAAGCTATCAAGAAATTAAATTAAAGACAATGTCAGAAAATAAAAGGATAAAGGTCAAGACTGCTCTTAAAAAAATTATCTTTGACAATCTCAACTGAACAGGCTGATATTGGCTATATATACAAGTACATTCAGAAAATTGCACCATATGAAACCAAATAAAAATATCCATTGAAAATATTTCATAAATTGAGTAGGCCTAGAAATTGATTTTTTTGCCAAAAAGACAAATGTTTTCAGGCCACAGGCTTTGAAAGAGGGGAGTGGGGTGGGTTGCTCTGTGACAACTGACCAATTTCATTTTTTCAACTTAAGTCCAAACCTAGTGATCCCTCTGAACATACAACTTGCCCTCCGAACAATCATGTCTGGCTTTAGGCCTGATTTTATATTTGTTAGGATTTTATACATTATTTTCTTCGTATATAATGATTATAAACTTATATTTATCTATTTTCAGAGGACAGATACGTCATTGTTGGCACAATTTTTCTATGCTGATGAAGATTTGAATTTAGTAGCAGCTGAATTGGATAGTTTTGATGGGAGGAAAGATCCAGAGAGATGTTCTCTATTAGTAAACCAGTTGAGAACATGTCAAGATCGTGTTCTCAATATTATTCAGCAGATTATGGAAGATGCTATTCCATTACAACGAGCTAGTAGAGACTTTCGAGTCAAGTTTCCTGATGATGTCATACAAGAGAATTTATCAGGCCAGTTGTGGTTTGGGGCTGAGGTAAGTTGCTAGATGAACATTTATAAATTTGGATAAGTGTATCACTTCATCAATTCTCTCGACTTGCGAATTATGTGTAGAGTAACATGGAATAATGTCAGAAATACTGGTATATTTTAGATAAATTTCTTGCCAACTGTTAACCTGTTATTGTTATTAATGTTAAATAGATATCAACCCTGTATTCAGGTAGCCGAGGACTTCATAGTGTTTAGTTGTGTTGTAAGCTTATTTGATGAATCGTGCAATGTTAATTAAAATAATGTTAAAATGTGTCTGACTTTAATACAGGGCTGATTGGAAGTTATTCTGAGGCTATAGGCTTTATACAGACAGCTTACTGGAGATTTACTTTAACTTACCTAGCCATTAATATATATATAGATTTGTACTTTTTAATCTAGCTATAGTTCCTAGTCATGAATAAGTGATGCTGTTGGATTGCTGCTTCCAAATATGTCTGCTTAATTATTGAAAAAGTAGAATTAGAAATACCATTTAAAACTTTTATGTTAGAATAAAAAATGAATCAACAAGATTCTAATTACTTATAATCTTGTTTTTCTGGCAATGTTGTCAAAATTTCAGGTGTTGAAGGGATTGTAAAGTGGGTTTCTTAATTTTTTATGTGTCATCAATTTGCACCATTCCAATTTTCAGTCAGACTTCTGTGGCTCCTGCAATTCCTCAGATAATAAATGTCTAATTGCCAATATGCTTACTCGTATCACATAAGGTCCGTCTCTATTAATCATCAAACGCTTAGTTTTAGTGGAATTGCAGGAACCACAGAAGTCTGACTGCATATTGGAATGATGTAAATTGATGCTATCTGTATCCTCGATACACATACAAAATTTAGAGAACCTCTTTATATTCCCTTTAATACTAGGCTATCAGTATACTGGTAATTGAATCAATGACAACTAATGGATATTCTGATAATAAGGAAGTAAAAGACTGGTAAACTAATTAAATGCTGTGAAATAACTAAATGAACCTTACATTATTATTCGAATATGAAATATTATACATTACCGGTATACGTATTAGGTATATTATATAAAAGTTTACATTTCATTTTCAAATTGGATCAATACCACTACTTTATCTTTTTAAGCCAAAATTTAAAAAAAAGATGCTGCAGATATTTTGTTAAGAAATATGTTGAGGTGTTTCATCAGTTTACATTAGATTAAGAATTAGCCCAAAAAAAACAGTTGTTAAAAACTTTGCACTTTGTTGTGATTGTGAAATCTTTTAAATGATATTCCGTAATATAAAGGTTAGGGTGCAACGAACAGTAGGAGGCACGTATGCCTTTTCCAAAGAGAAACTTTTTAGACATATTTGGCTTTATGTTGTTGATAATTTTTTCTAAATGACAGTTTTGAGACTACATAGTTTTATTGTCCAGGAGTGGAAGTTTTATTATGTCACATTTTTAAAGATAGCTTTTTAGGTTGTCTAACATAACAAGTTAAACCTGATAGTGAGTCAGACCACCAGCTGATTTCATATCATTAATCTACATTTCACGGTGTATTACATTATCAAGTTGGGATGACTAGACCTTCCAAATACTTACTGATTTCAGGTCAATTTTTAAATTCAAGTTGTGGATCAGCTAACATCTTCAGTGTTTGAGCCAAATAAATGAATCAATCATCTTACCGTGATAGTGCCTTTATTGAGCCTAATTACCTCCCTTGATGTCGCCAAAGTCACTGGCAATGACCAATACGGTCATCAGCATCCTGCGGCATCTGTTTTCAATGATTGAAAATTAATTTTCTTTTGCGATAGCAACCTCTGTCACTTGCATCAGAATTATAGCATAAAATCCTGGTCATAATATAGATGGAGATTTTATTTAAAAATGAATTTAAATAAGTTGAAGGAGTAATATCTACTACCAGTACAGAAAGGTTTATCAATGGCTAATATCACCTTTAAGATTAAAATTCCTATGATATAGTTTGTATAAAATTGATTATAATGTGAGCTTATTGGTAGAAGAGACAGGTGGTATTAATATTCTCTGGATCAGATATATTGATAAAGCTATATAATGATATTGTCAATAAAAGGGGTAAGCTTACAGCTTCAAATTTGTGACATATGCTTGTAAATTTTTATTCATGAATTGAACATAGACTTGATGTCACTTTCTAGAAAAGGGTGTTAAAATGTCCTATTCTGTATTTAACAGTGTTTAGCAGCTGGTTCCAGTATTATGAACAGAGAGATAGAGAGTGCCACTATGAGACCATTAGCTAGAGCATTAACTAAGAATTTAGATAGTTTAAGATCAGTATTAAGAGAACAATGTCTACGTAATATCAACCAGTACACAGAAAGGGTAAGCATTACATTTACTTACAGATAGTTATCTTATTCAAAGGCCATTGCTTTCATGGAAATTTGACGGGTAAGATCTGTTGATTCACACTTATCCATCATAGTGGATACAGATTGTGAACATTGCAGCATGGCTCATTCTAATGGTCAATGGTCAGATCGTATTGATGCTAGAAAATGGATCATGAGAAACTGACATTTTTCAATCATTTGTGTGTTTGAGTAAAATGTAAATTTCTTGCGTTTATTTCAGATACGAGAATCGTTAGTGATATTTGATAAGTTATTCGCTGAATTTGAGCTCAGGTAATTTCTTTTTAATTGAAGAATAATCCTCATTATCACTTAATATTGAAAAATGATACTGATTAATTACTTGCTATTTGAGAAAGAAGGATAAACCTCAACATCTTGCTATGTAGGCCTACCTATAACCGGGCAATAAGCTTCAATGGAGATTTGGCAGTAAAAATAAAGTATTAATGCATATGAATTAAGAACTATTTTATATTATAGTTATGTAAGTGCTGTGCTACCTGTCAAGACTAAATGATAATTATTATTTTATATTATAGTTATGTAAGTGCTATGCTACCTGTCAAGACTAAATGATAATTATTATTTTATATTATAGTTATGTAAATGCTATGGTACCTGTCAAGACTAAATGATAATAATTATTTTATATGATAGTTGTGTAAGTGCTATGGTGCCTGTCAAGACTAAATGATCATTATTATTTTATATTATAGTTATGTAAGTGCTATAATACCTGTCAAGACTAAATAAGAATTATTATTTTATATTGTAGTTATGTAAGTGCTATGGTACCTGTCAAGACTTAATAAGAATTATTATTTTATATTGTAGTTATGTAAGTGCTATGGTACCTGTCAAGACTAAATGATAATTATTATTTTATATTATAGTTATGTAAGTGCTATGGTACCTGTCAAGACTAAATGATTATTATTATTTTATATTATAGTTATGTAAGTGCTATGGTACCTGTCAAGACTAAATGATTATTATTATTTTATATTATAGTTATGTAAGTGCTATGGTACCTGTCAAGACTATGAGAGAATATGATATGGTACAAGAAATAACTGTTTTATTCTCAGAAACTGTTCAACGGTAAGTATCCCCATAATCCAGAATCGATTACTTTTTGTCAAAATACATCTTTGTTTATGCCATCCTGATTTTTTTGATTTGAACATCTGTTAGATCTAATAAGCCATATTGGAATGTTTGTTTGATTGATGAACCAGTTTTGAATTTGTTGATGTATTTTATCACTACAGGGCTGTGAAGTTAGGTCACCTCAGTGAAGAAATGATCAATGAATATGATCCAGCTTTAATGTTTACCATTCCTAGATTAGCTATTGTCTGGTAGGTACTCTATATTCTATTTATGACAATACAGAGCCAGATATGTCACATTCAAAATGTTCTCTTCTATTCCCTTCTCTGCCATTTAGAATTCTGTTTACATATACTTTTTTTTTCATTCAATTTATTGAGTCTCTGGTTTTTTTTCATCACCAATCTGGCATCCCTCTTTTGTGTACAGAAGGCTAGTTCCTGTCTCCCAAAATATCCTATCAAAATTTATCAGAAGCTTATCCCTATTGTTCAGTGAGATCTTTAAATTTGGAAAATTAACCCTCATTTTAGAAATGTCTGTTTTGCTGTAAGAAAGCCTTCAACTAAATGGGGCCATTCGTATCTATTTAGTCCAATAAAATCTATTTTTGAAACTTGTTAAGTGATATCTGAAAGTAAAAATGTCTAAATGACCCTATTATCTTAATCTCATGTTATATATGTGTTTCAGTGGTTTATTGGTACATACTGAAGGTCCTGTTAATCCAGATAATGGTCCATTAGGTGTTTCTGAAATGTTTCGTCCATTTATAACTTTATTATTAAAAATAAGGTAAGATGAATTTTATAACATTCTTAACTTCAGAGTTCACTATTTTTTTATGCAACATTTGGTTTCGATGTTGAAGGAGGGTTTTCTATATGCTACAAGTTAAATAGATATGTTCTCATGCATATTCATTGGTTTCACTTTGTCCTGGGTCAAAAAACAAAGAGTCCTTTTTGTGATAGCAGAAAAAATGGATTAACACATTTCATTGACAAAGGTTTCATGCTGCTTTTTCAATAAAAAACATGTTTTTACATTAGATTTTCTGTATTTCCCTATCCTTCACTATAACAAGTCTGAAATGTTTTTGTTATATTTTGCAGGGAGTTGTTGTGTACTTTAAATGAAGATGAGCTTTGTACATTAGAAAGAGCTTTATGTAGTACTGATGAACCATATTTTACAAATGAAACTATAGGTAGTTCATGTCAAACAGATTTCAAGCCAGATGATGAAAGTTCTGTAGAATCTTCAGAAATAAGTTTTCATGATGCTTTAGAGAATGTTTTTACACCAAGTGATAGGAATCCAGGTAACAGTGAGGCAGCTACAGTTCATAATGAACTCACTCCCGACCACAGTGAACGGCCAACAAGTTTAGAAAACCAAACAGACAATTGTGGCACCATGAAAAAATGTGATAGCAATGATAGTGGCTTACATAGTGAGAACATTAGCAATTCTGATAGCTTATACACTGTCTCATCAAGTGATTCTCACAATACTTTAAACACTGCTGAATTATCTCCCTTGAGTGAAGGGGAGATGACCCCATTTAATTTACCTGCAGAAAGGGAGGTTACTGCTAAAGACTGTGATATAGTTTCTGTTGAAGTTTTTAATGAACTGGTTACTGAAGAGACAGGAAGGTTGTGTGGTGACTTTCTTGATGAAGCTTACCGATCTGTTTGCTCAATTTGTCAGAGTAATGAACAATGTGTGACATGTAAACATCAATCTTGTGATATTTGCTCACAATCGGACAATTTGTCTTCCATGGTGGAAACTGAGGAAGACGTCTATGACCCAATGACAGTCCATGACAATCTTTCACAATGCTCAGATAATCAAAAACCTCCTTGCACTGATGATCACAATTTGAATGAGAAAACTGATATTCCTAGACCAAAAGAACCCATTGTAGTATCTGGACGTTCATCAAGATCTCGCTCTCACTGTAAATGTAAATCACAAGTAGAGTCCGCTCCATTTGAAAGAACAAAGACTGATTCATCAGAGCCTGCCTGTCACAGTTGTTTACAAGTACCGAAACTTAGACTACATCGATTACGTTATGCTGAGAGTTGGGGTTCTAATTGCTCAACTTGCAGATGTCGTGCCTCGAACCATGAATTTGATTGTGATAATGAAAGGTAAATGGCTTATCTTTGCTACTACAGATTTGAGCTGTCTATAATTTGGTGTTCATTAGGGATGGTTGGCAACTAAAGGTATCTTGAAGTTGTTTTGATAATAACTATTATCAATTTTCAGAATGCTTTAACCCACAACTATTGACAGTCTAGTTAATCAAAACAGTTTGATTTGCTTTCTGACTACCGAAATTAAGTAAGTTGTATGAATAAGTAAAGATTATCTATTTTCTTATAACAAAATGCTATTTGTTTATGACTTTTTTTAGTTGTGGAAGTAGTGATACCAGTTCCTATACATCAGAATGTAATGATGATGAAGAAATTGCTCTAGCTGTTCAAGCTGCTGAATCAGCATCACGAAATGAAGCTAGATCACGATTCCGTAGCAGTAGTGATATGATACACAGATTGTTTGTCTGTATCTCAGGTATGATAGACAAGGGTTGAAACTCTATCAATATCTGTTGAATCATACCCAAATTCAAACTTGTCTAAAATCTTGTGGATATAATCCTAGCTTTTTGTTTTTTTTTTTTACTGTTATATATTACCAGTTTTCTTGACCTCTGAATAATTTGATCATATTCGAAATGTTGTGCACTATATGATTTGCATGCTAAAGATTTCATGTGATAAATAAAAGAAAGAAGGCTGATGCCTTGCTTAAGCAAAAATACCTCTCATTGCACAATGCATAGCATTTCTTCTCCAGTAATGTTTTAAAAGAGTCTTAAGTTTATTGATATGAGAATATCAAAATATCTCAACATTTCAACATTAACTTCAGATGTGTCGAGGCACAGGAAAGTTTTTCTAATAAAATTTTTGAAAATGATTTTGTCTTTTTTCAGGTGTAGCTGATCAACTTCAAACTAATTTTGCCAGTGATTTAAGGAATATATTAAGAGCTGTATTTGATATGAATTGTTCAGAACCTTTAATGAGTTTTGATACCAGTCCAAGTAAATCTGACGTTATATTACATCCTGGTACTAGTACTAGCCAATCAGAGACAAGTATCAATAGACGCACTGCTAGTAGCGTTCGAAGAGAACTGCGTAGACGCAGACGAAGACTTCAAGGTTTGTATTCTTCAATCTCTTTGAGAAAAAGGAATTATGTGATTTTCCTATAGTTTCAGCATAATTCTGAAAACTAATCCAAATCAACTCCTGAAAATGCTGATTGTTGCCTTTTAGGAGGAATGATCAGAATTGTTCCCTTCACACATGCTGTTTTAAATCTAGGCCTCTTTGCAAAAAATCTGAGACTTTGGTTCGGTCAATCTTGTTCGTAAGGGACCTCTGGGACAGATTAATGCTCAGACTTAATATTTCTATTTACCCTAATTTCTTATGATTTCAACACTATTTAACTGTGGTGTGCAACCAAATTATTATTATTAATATTTTTTAATTAACAGAACCACCTAAATGGATGCCTGATGATCTAAGTTTCCATTGTATGGCCTGTAAAATACCATTTACATTTGTTAGAAGAAGACATCATTGTCGCAATTGTGGAAAGGTAAATAAAGAGTTGCTTCCCTTAGTTTGAAGTAAAAATTTTATTGGCAAATTTCTATGCTTTTTGTCATAGAAATGTAATTAAGTTTTTGGAGCTTGTTTTTCAGCCTCAAGGAGATGAACATTAATGAATTTTTGTATCAACAAGAATAGATGTCATTGCTATTCTCAGGTTGCTTGGTGCAAATTTTTTTATGAATTGATTATGCTGTAGTACATTGTGCTTTTAACACATCTTACCATCAGAGACTTATTTTTTTTTTTTACATTTCAGATATTTTGTGGAAGATGTTCTACCAATTCTGTGCCTTTACCTCATTTTGGTCACATAAAACCAGTAAGAGTGTGTAATAGATGTTTCATGTTTCAAGTTACCCCATTTACAGTTCAGCAGACGGCATAGACAGTTTCTAGATACCCCAACCACCATTACAAATCTTTTTAGATATAAGAAATGGCAGTTTTTATCTACTGGATTTTACTTTGAATATTGTTTGCTTTTGGAATGCTTTTTTTACTGGAATATTTGCACATGTATCTGTTTTTTAGTACAACTAATGTATTGATAAATATTTTCAAAGGTAAAATAGTAGAGAACAAGGCAATTTTATCACTTTGAAAATAACCTTGCTCAAAGAAGACAATTTAACAGATAAACTAATGAAGTTCTTTTGTATGTTTTTAGTTGAATATAATCATGATCTTATATTTTGTACAATTGTTGTATTGTTTTATGTTATGTTTTTATATGTAATCACATCCCCCCTTCGTGCGAAACAACTTTTTTTACCAATTTTCTTATGCGTTCAATTATGTCCATTTTAACTGTGTTGTTATAATAAGAACCACTTTAACCAGTCTTGTATGACTGAAAATACAAATGTCTATTTGTGAGGTTTGAACACATTTGAGCCAGTTTATTGTAAATTCTAGAATCAGCTAGCTGATGAGAATTCTGCTGTAAAATGGCTGTTGTATATATATGATAATGAATCTTGTTAAAATGTAATGGTAATAACTAGAATAGTAGTAGAGTTTGGACTGGTCCATACTTAGTGTAGGCTGTTCAGTAAAGTAGAAAATGTCATTTTGTAAGGCCTTAAACATATCATTGCTCTGTGATACTAAACCTGTGTATTATTGTTGTTAGTGCTTATAACTCATAGTGCTTATACATTTGGGGAAAAGGGGACACAACTCATACTTAAGCTAACTCTTTATCATTCATCAATAGAAGGAAATTACATGAATCGTCCTTAAGTTACTGCTTTTTGTCAAGTATCTGGAAACCTGCATATGGGCTTAAATTAGAATTACTTGCTAGTGTAAATATTATTAAATTGCATTGAAATTTGCCATCTAAATTTTTGGTTAAATTGAGGGGTTTTCAATTTGGGAGAAATTTTGAAATTTTAGGGGGGTATTGTTTGTAGACAATCATTATTTCAGCTGTTTTATTCAGTCATACTATATTCTCTGACATTAAAAAGAGAAAATTAAGGATTTATGGTAAGAATTTATGGTAGGGATTTATAGTAAGACTTTATGGTAAGGATTTATAGTAAGGATTTATATTAAGGATTTATAGGGATCAGGATCCTGAAAGGGGTAATAGAAAGAACCTCTGGTATGGATGTATACTTCTGTGGACATGCTGTAAGCTTGTCAAATCATTGCTAATTTTAGATAAGTTTTAGATTTATGATTTTATGTTCGTCATTGTACCAGTGCCTTGCCTTGATTCAAGAAATGTTGCAACCAAATCTGCCTAGAATTTTTGCTCATAGACATTGGTTATATCTTAAGCAATTTCATTTGTGAAAAAGTGATAGAGTTGTCTAAATATATGATTAACCTGCTGATTGAGTTTAATTACATCAAACTGTATCACTTCTCAGAATCAGACAAACTGTCCCGTTTCCCTGCAATTCAATGAAAAAATAACTTAAAATCTTAAGAGTGCGCTTATCATGAAGACTGAAGAGTTCATAAGGTATAATATATATCAAGAAAATCAATAAATTCTGTTAGTAAAATAACATAAAAAAAAAATGAAATTATGGCTTTGGTGTAGATTTGTTTGCAATATTTTTTTTAAAGTTTTGATATTAATTATTTATTAATTTTGGGCTAATCTTGCAACATTGCATTTGAACGTTAGCTAAGTTCTTTATATTTTGCATATATCTCAGTGGAATAACATACCATTACTGTCTAACATGCAATGCTTTGCTTGGTTCCAGTGAAGTAAAACGTTTTCAGATATTCTTGTGCTCATTATGGTTAATTGCTTAATCAACTTGAATTTCTGTATCAATATTAAAATAGAGTGCTTATTGATGTTTGTGTAGTTGAAATGAGTATGTTGTTGAAATGAATAAAATACATTACACAATTATGTTTTTTTATGTTATTAATATATTTTATGTTCTTAATTTATAGTATTTAAATGTAATTTTGTTTATATGTACAATTACCCTTTCCAAAATTCTTGACAAAAATTTTTCATTTTTCTTTTCATGATGTGCTCTTTAGGTGTTTGCTTTCTGTTGGAAAGTGCTAGAAGTTTTCTGTTTATCTTGTATGTTTGTAGGTGTATTTGAATTGTCATAAACTGTGTATTTGCTAGAATGTTTTGCTACTTTTGCTATTCTCAATGTAGGTGATGTTAAATGCTTGTATTAAAATTATATATGAAATGACAAATGTTTGAAAAATGATAATAGTATTATTTCACAAAAAAGACATACTTGTTGGTTGAATTTTACTTGTATCAATAAAATTATTAGTATTTTCCTTTATTGTAAAAAGTGAATTACAATTTTTTGACCATAAATTTTAAGTATGTTTGTGTTATTTTTGACACAGATAAAAGTACTTACGAGTTAGTTTACTTGCTTATAAATAACAATAAAATTGGCAGCATTAGTTATATAAATATACTAAACTTATGTTATACGTTGATAAGTTTATAACGGATTTTGATGCACTAGGTATATCATAAGATCACATATGAGTAGGACTTTCATGATATATTAAGATTTATTGCACTTCAGAAATTGTGGTTTTTATACGCCCACATGAATATGTGGTCGTATATTGTCGTCGCCCCTATCCGTCGTTCAGTCCATCAACATTTCTTCTGAGCACTATAGAGACTACAGTTTTCATCTGATTTTGATAAAACTTGGTGTGATACTTTAGATTGATAATATCTCGGTCAAGTTCGAATTTGACGTATTTTCAATGAACGGTTTTTGAGATATTGCCCTTGACTTTGTTAAAAGGCGTCAAAATGTGTTTGTGAGCTCTATTGAAGCTACAGTTTTCAACCCATTCTGATGAAACTTGGTGTGATCATTGGAATTGATAAGATCTCGGTCAAGTTTTAACTTGATGCATTTTCGATGAACGTTTTTTTAGTTATTGCCCTTGACTTTGTTAAAACGCGTCAAAATTTTTTCATGAGCACAATAGACGCTACAGTTTTCAACCGATTCTGATGAAACTTGTTATGATCATTGGACTTGAACAAGTTCTCATTTGACGTATTTTTGATGAACGGTTTTTGAGTTATTGCCCTTGACTTAGGAAAAACGCATTTGTTTGTGAACACAATAGAGATACAGTTTTCATATGATTTGAATGAAATTTGGTGTGATGATTTATATTCATGAGATCTGGGTCAAGTTCAAATTTGACGATTTTTTAATGAACATTTCTTGTAGTTATTTCCCTTGACTTAGGAAAAACGCGTCAAAATTTGTTTGTGAACACAATAGAGACTACAGTTTTCAACTGATTTTAATGAAATTTGGTGTGATCATTTATATTGATGAGATCAGGATAGAATTTGATGATTTTTCGATGAACGGTTATTGCCCTTGACGTGTCAAAATTTTTTGCCCTTGATTAGAGCTATGTGATTTAATTATTTGTTGTATTTGGGTTATTGATATTGATTTTAAAAAAAAAATACTAAAAATTAAATTACTAATTATTAAAATTTAATAACTGGCATATATATATGTAATTGAATTCAAACTAATAAAATTTCTTCAATATGAGAAACTTCGTACTTCAGTCACTAAAGACTGTTTTATCATTTCTGACAGCTGCCAGTGGGCATATGTTATCTTGCCTTGCAAGCTATCTTGATCAAATATTGATGAAAGATGGTTAGCGTAAAGGGTTTTTATAGAGGTGATAGCTTCAATTTTCAACAATTCCAATTTTTAGTTAGACGTCTGTGGTTCCTGCAATTCCACAAGTACTAAATGTTTGATGACATCAATAATGTCGAAAAATCTGCCATTCACAAATAGCGATGTCATCAAGTACTTGGTGTTTGTTGAATTACAGGAATCACAGATGTCTGATTGAAAATTGGAATGGTGCAAATTGATACTATCAGTGTCCCTGATACACATGATAAATTATGTAAAATAAGTCAGTCATGTGTTATGTATATGGATCAGAGGACAGCTAATCATAGTTTGAACTCTTATGGTATTTCATAGTTGCTCAAAATAGAAACTCTATTGAAGAAGCAATAATCCTAGTTGTTATATATAGCTTAAACTAAATGGTATAAGAATCAAATATTTTTTATTAATTACTAAAATTACTAATTACATTCACCTGGGAAAAGAATTCTAGAAATCTTCTGTTTTTAAGGGGATCTAGAAGGTTATGTAAAGTGTTTCATGAATGTGTTGTTTCTATTCCTTTGTATTCGTAAGTGAGCCAAGCAAAAATATCTTTGCACATCAGGTCTGATTCAAAACATAAACACGAACAGTCCATTTAAAGGGATTGTAAAAAGGTTTTTTAATTTTTTTACGTGTATCAGGGACACTGATAGGATCAATTTGTAACATTCTAATTTTCAATCAGATATCTGTGGTTCCTACAATTGCTCTAGAACTAAGTGTTTGATGTCACTAATTGCAAAATATGCTTTATCACATAAGGCCCTTTGAGATTAGTGATGTCATTTAGCACTTGGTTTTAGTGGAATTGCAGGAACCACAGACGTCTGTTTGAAAATTGGAATGATGCCTATCAGTGTTCTAGAAACATTTTAAAATAATGGAGACAACCTCCTTATAATCCCTTTAAAGATGGGTTACCTTATTTTCATTTATGATTGGTAAAAAAACTCTTAATTATATGCAATAAGAACATAATGATATGATTAAGAATGCATGATAATTCATTAGAACAACCAATCAAATAGTGTTTAATTTGACACTAATAAATAAGGAAACCCATCTTTAACTGACTTTCTTAAGCATAGCCAAGCACATCCATTATCAGGAGTGGTCCACTTTTTTTTAGGTAGTTTAAGTAGTAATGAACATAATATAGATTCAACTTATATAGTTTCAATTACTG